CCGGGTTCGATTCCGGTGAGGGGCATGTACATTGGTTGTGGGCACATCCCCGGTGGGGGGTGTGCAAGAGGCAGCTGGTTGATGTTTCTCTCTCATTGACGTTTCTTGCTCTCTGTCTCTCTCCCTTCCTCTCTGTAAAAACCAATAAAATATATTAAAAAAAAAAAAAAAAGAAAGAAAGAAAGAAAGAAAGAAAGAAAGAAAGAAAGAAAGAAAGAAAGAAAGAAAGAAAGAAAATCCCATTGTTCCTGGAATAACTTGCTCACTTCCTCTGCCTAGTTCCCTTCCTTCTGTTCCCCTCCTATCACACTTCAATGCGTTGGCTAGTTGTTCCACTTGCTGTGCTCTCAAATTACTTTCTTCTTTAGACCTTAATCCTCTACTTCTTTGCATTTGACTCCGTTTTTGAATGTTTCTGTCTCAAAATAGGAAGTCACTATTTCAAGTCTTCATCTCAACTCAATTCAAATGTTGAAATTTTGAGTTATCAAGTACTGATTGTGCTGTCAGCTAGAGATGAGTAAAACTGAGCTTCTGCTATCAAGGAACTCTCAGTCTAATCCGAAATATGAATAAGTAAAATCTATATCATAAAAACCTAAGCAACTGTTACAGGGGGAATGACTGACCAACCGGGGGCAGATGCTCAACTCATGAGCTGCCCCCTGGTGGTCAGTATGCTCCTACAGGAGGAGCGCCGCTCAGCCAGGAGCCAGGCTCACGGCTGGCGAGCACAGCAGCAGTGGTGGGAGCAGTGAGTCCAGTGGTAAGGAGCCAGCAGGTGGGTGGTAAGAGCAAGGGGTCCCAGATTACGAGAGGGCGCGGGCCAGGCTGAGGGACTCCCCACCCCAGTGCACGGTTTCGTGCACCTGGCCTCTAGTAAATAATAAAGATGATGGTATAATCCTAAAAACAAAGAGGTCCCTTGGTAGAGGGGATGGTTAATCCTTCAGAAGCAAGGAGGTCAGGAAAGGTTTCTGGGAAGAGGCAGCACTAACTAAGCTGGGTTGTCAGGTACATATAAGCATTTAGTGACCAGAGTTGGGAAAAGGATGTCACAGGAAGTGTCGTGTTCAGAGGCATGAAGAACAGTGTGTTATACCAGGTCTGGGGTGCTAAGAAGCAGAAAGTTCTCCTTGCCCAAGTTTTCTGAGGACATAGGTTGGCTGCCTCTGAGTCCTGTGGTGAGTCCATCTTTTAGGTTTGGCTGTCTCTACTCTGTTGCTTCATTCCTCTGTGCACTCTGTTTTCTCTTCCCTCCCTCTCTCTCCCCCACTTCATATAAACCCTCCTCCCTATTTTTCCTTCCTTTTATGGAATATTTTTGTGTGCCTGTTTGGGCCCTGGATTTAATTTAGTTGTATTGGACTGTAGTAATAACGTTTCTGTACCTTTGCCCAGATGCCTTCAACTAACTAATGGGTGTATTCTTGCAGGCCAACAAACAGATGAATAAATCCAGTGCGCTGTCTTGTATCTTTGCCTCCCTTCTCTTCCTTTGCACTTTGCTCCATCTTCCGCATTGCTTGAAGACCTTTTTAGAAAACTAAAACTTTCCTAGGGTACCACAAACATCAGGTTGCCTTCACGAAGTCACTTGTGCACCTGCCACTCAATTCCGTGGAGGACTACCCATTAGAGGGACCCAGCTTGTGTCTAACGGGAGTTCTGCTGTCACTAGGCCTCTTCCCCAGTGTCTGCGAACCTCGGAAAGTTATAGGTTCACATCTGTGAATGGCAGCTGCTCATTTTTGACCACTGATGCTGATTATCGTGTAACTCCATGAAAAACTGATAATGTGATAGAACAGAGGCTGACCAAATCACCTTGGGCAAAGTAAATCGGAGGTTCTCCGAACCTGGGGATCCACGCCTGGGCTCTAAAAATAAATGGGGAGCTGCCATGAAGGGTGGGGGAAAATTAACCAAACTACTTTAAAACCAACTGCACTTCTGCATGTTGATTAAGCCCAAGAATAGATGGTGGTTTCTGTTCTTCAGCCAGTTCTTGCCTTGCTTCGTCTCCTTTCCTTTTCTCCCCGTCTGCCTTCTTCTTCTGCGCTGCTCTAAACATTCTGTTCCATTTCCACTGACCTAACTTCAGGCTCCCTCCCAGGACCCCAGGAGAGTGCCCCCTCCTATTGCCTGGGGAGGCTTTCCCGCACTCCAGTCTCTAGCTAGGCCAGTACATTGAGGTCATTGCTCTCCCTGCCAAATGATTGGCCTGAGTTCAGTTTCTCCATCTGTCTGAGCTTCATGGAAAACATGATTGTTGCTCTAGGCTCTTTATTGTATGACCTGCTTCAGATTGTCTGCTTTGCATCTGCTTTTTTGTTTTTTCCCCCATCAGCACCCCCTGCCTTTCGCCCCCTGACTCTCCCCAGACTAGAATCACATCTGTTTTCCAGCCTCTGCACTCTCACTGCACAGCAGATGGAAGGAGAGCAAGTTCTGGGCCAAGCAGATGGGGACAGAGCTGGGTTTGTACTCAGATTTGTTCTAGGGACTCACCAGAATACATGTATCTCAAAAATGACACAGAGTTCCTTCAAAGGAGTCAGAGATGTTATTCACTTATTTCTCATTATATCCATCGCTCTCTCTTCCTTCTAGCTAGACAGCTAGTTATCTTTCTTCTTTCTTCCCTTACTCCCTCCTCCCTTCCTTTGCCTTCCTTTCCTCTGGTCTGTCATTTGTTAATTCAATCTGCTCTGTGTCCATCTGTACTCTTCTCTAAGTCAGCTCATCAGAGTGATACACATTGTAGATTATAGGAGCTAACAGATGCCTTGACATTTGACAAGTCTAGTGCATGAGATTAACCACTCCTCCTTATTCAGTTTCTATTGATTCTCTCTAAAGTGGAGATATTTTATGGTCTAACCACTAGGGTTTCTATGAATAAGAGCAGATACAAAAGTTTTTAATAAAACTCCTGGATCTGAGAAAAAGTCATCTGTGGGGAAGCATGGGACTTGGTTGGAATGTCTGTAGGAGGATTATCAGAAAGGCTGGGGACTTCAGGGGAGGGACCTCGCCGAAGGTGGCAGCCCCTATCTTGACTTTTCCAAACAAGTCCAACCCCCCGCCTCTGGGGTATTTTGTTAAAATCTCTATGTTTAGTCTTTAAAGATCAGACCTTATAGAAGCATATACTTTCTCAAGGATACTTACCCTGCTGATTGTATCTAGGGGTTAATTTTAGTTCAAGCTGTTGTGACGATAAAAGCCCGAGAAGGCAGGCACACAGGACTGCTTTTTACTTCTAAAGCAAAATAGTCCCCTAGCCCTCTCTTTCACAGAATCGTGTGTCAGAGCAATCTGGTCATCTGTCGCTCAGGGTCTGCTGGTCAGCCCTGGCAGTGATCTACATGTTACAGATGTGAGAAAAAGCACTGGTGGAGAGTAAGTCAAGCAGAACTAACATAAACTTGGCCCTCAGTTTTCTTTGGGCTTCTGATGGCATTTTGTCCTTAGGATTCCAGACACCAAGATTCTTAGCATAGGCTTAGACAAAGCCAGAGACCAAATACAGCTGGCATCTCCTCCCACAGTACTGCTCCACATTCCAAAATGATTTAGATGGCACTGTTTCCCTCAACTTTTTTTGAACCCTAAGACAGACAGCCCTCCTCTTGGGCAAAACTCATGTGGTATCTGTTTTTGCTTGGATGTGGGAATAAATGGGATTTCTAGAGGAATAAAACAACAACAACAAGAGTCTAAATGAGTGGGTCAAGAGAGAGGCACAGAAGGAAGATAAATTCAGGGATGTAAAGGAGTTTGTTGGTCTTGAAGAGATGCATATCCAAAAAAGGATAAAAATGAGAAAGGAAGATGCAAAAATGATTCAAACATGGAAGAGAGTCAGAGATAGGAACGTTTTCTGGTGATGTGCAGAAAAACATTCCAAGGATGAGGTAGAATTGATTAGGTAAGAAGGAACCCAAGGAATGGGGTGGAGGGTGCCAAGGCCAGATTGCGAGAGGGAAAATAGGCTCCTGGAAGAAAGGCACATGTGGGCTTGGGCCAGCCCTTCTAGGGAGCAGCAGCATCTATCACCCATGTGGTAATAACCTTTGGAATGAGGGTGTGAGTGACTACAAATTCCCATCCCCCTTCTCATCTCAACCTCATTACTCTCCTCTAGCCTGCCTCTCTCTCTTTCTCTCTCTCTCTAGCTCTCCCTCATCTCATTGTTTCAGGAGGCCAAGTTTGAAGTCCTTCCCAGGGAGTGGCCCTATTCATCTTATTCTCCAGCCAAAGTAGGAATAGCGTGAGAAGGAGAGAGACACAGTCAGCAGCCAAAGGACACAGTGGAAAGAGCAGAAGACCATAGACAGTGAGTTGTTTCATTGTATAAAACCCTAAGTGGGGGGGGGGGGATGTGAGGGGATTGGAATGGGGAGATTAAGGACAAATATGTGATACCTTAATTACTAAAGAAATTAATTTAAAAAATAAAAAAATAAAACCCTAAATAAACAGGGTGTGTGTGTGTGTGTGTGTGTGTGTGTGTGTGTGTGTGTGTGAGAGCGGGTGTGTATATACATTGAAGAGCTGGGAATCTCATTGGACAATTTAAAATTGAGCAGACATCTCAATTAGCCACAAAATTCAAATGAAAGAAGACACCAAGGCGAACAGATGACATAATCAAGTCATAGATATGGAAAGAGAAGGAGATCAGACCCTAAGGGTGAAAGAGACCACAGGGCAGGAGAAAACATGGACCATTCAGCATGTGAAATTTCCTGTGACTTGGTAGGAAAGAGTAAGGAGAGTGAAAATAATGGTAAGTGACCAAAGAATAGAATTCGAATTGAGAAATAAATGCCGGGTGAAAGATACGAAGAGGGAAAGGGTTTGAGTGATATGGGGGACCAGGAAAGGTCCTGGGAAGGCAGAGATGTGGGCCATAGACATCCTTCCCTGGAACTGAAATGCTGATGTGTCCCTGAGAGTCACAATCTCTACTCTCCCCACCATCCCTGTTAGATATGCTGCTCTTTGGACCCAAGGTGCTGCTGTTTCTCACTGCACTCATCATCCCCTCAGGTGAGTCCCTACCTTTATTCTTTTCTCCCTAAGATGCTAGTTTCCCAGCTCTACACGTGTCTGGAGGTGTGTTTTACAGAGTGAAATGGAAGGAGGTTGGAGGGGAATTGGGAGAGAAATGCTTGCTCTTGAGTTCTAGAATTGCTATCAAAAAGAAAAACGGAATAGATTTGTGTGTTGTTGTTGTTGTGTTTTTTGTTTGTTTGTTTGTTTTAAAAGCAGAAATATGGAGAGAGAGGACCTCAGACTTAGGAAAAGGTATCCTGAGAAGTTTTGAAATTAAGGTGAAATACAAACAAACACATATTAACTAAAAGAGACTCACACACATAAATACCTACGTACACAAATATCAAGGGAAAAAGAAGTTCTCTCTCTCTCTCTCTCTCTCTCTCTCACACACACACACACACACACACACACACACACACACACACACACACGTACAGACAACCTAATGATGAAGTAGAACAAATTTAAACCCTATAGAAAAAACAGCAACACATACCAAACACTAGCACTAGCATATACACAAGTATATTCACTTGCACAGCAAAAATATGTGCCAAATCTATACACAAAGTAAAATGATCTTCACAGATTTCACAGAAGCTTGCTAGAAGTTTAATCATGGAAAATATACTTGGGTTTAAAAAGAAAATCCTACTCTTATTTTTCTCATTCTGCCACATACGGACTGTGAGAAAATAATCTTTTTGGCTTGTACTGTAGTGTAGCTAGTGGGATGGCTGTGGGCATAGAAGGACAGGACAGGGTAGAATTGCTACTGGCTTTCTCAGTAGAACAGGTCCCCATTCCTTCTGGCTGGGAATGAGGGAAACAGAGCAAGCTGAGTCAGGGCATAACAGAGCAGGGGTTTGTTCTCAGAAATTTGTTGTCTTGCTTAAGCGTTTCCACATTTGTGTGTATTGAACCATATAAAAATAAAACACAGAAAGATAAAGTACAACCATTTCCCCATCATTTTCTGGTTCGTTTTATAAAAGCTTTCTGGGGCCCTAGCTGGTTTGGCTCAGTGAATCAAGTGTTGGCCTGCGAACTAAAGGGTCCCGGGTTCCATTATGGCCAAGGGCACATACCCTTGTTCAGAAATCAATTTAAAAAAAATTTTTTAAAAGCTTTTTTTGGGGGGGTTTGGGCTGGAGTCACTCACATGCCTTTTCTCTTTCCTTTGATACAGACTGGACACCTCTAGGGGTCAATGGTCAAGAAAGTAAGTGAACTTTTGAATCTGGGCTTTGTTAAGATTATGTAAATGAATGGTCAGAATTAAAAAATCTGTAATACAACAGACTTGTATTGCCACAATGTGGGAAATAGGATCTAATTCACAAGTTTCCTTAGTCCTATCATCCCATTCATAAAATCTTGTCTACCGAAACACTTTTCCCTGAATCTCCTCTATACCCATCTCTTGCTTATACTCTCTTTTGTATACTGTCAGAGGGAAAAAATGCTCAGAAAATGTTTTCTAATTTTTTTTTTTAATTTCACTCCAGCAACTGCAGAACCATTAACAGACGCACCTAGTAAGTTTTCCTGTATTTATTTCCTTGCTTTCATATTGGGATTGGAAGGATTGATACTGAAGTCTGTAAAAGAGAGGTTGGTGGGCACTCTGAGTTCATGCGGAGCTCCATTGTCTATCTTATATGTCACCGATGCTGTAAGCATGCCCAAATGTTTTCCCTCCTCCATTTCCTTCTGTGAAAGCCCCTTACATTTGCCCACACAGTCCACATTCTTTCACCTCAATCTTTGTTGCCTCCTTTTAGCCCATCATCCCTTATCCTTCTTCCCTTTCCACTTTTCCTACTTGCATTTTACATTCACTGTGTTTTTACTATTGCAGGTTTGCTAGTTGGACCCTCTGCAGATCAAACAGGTAACTTTTACTACACCTCTTTTCCCAGGACCTCCTCCATATCCATCTCTTGCTTACACTCTCCTCTGTACATCTCTTATCTCACTCAGAAAATGCCCACTAATCCTAGCAGAAAGCTTTTTCCTATCCATGTGACAATGGAGAAACTAAAATGAAAAAGACAGGATTAGAAATTATCTCAGTACTATAACCAAGTTGTGGCACAACTGAACAGAACTCAAAAGTTTTGGCTTCCCAAGGACCACTTCCTCCACCCTAATGAAGGAAATTCCAAGATATTCAACAAAATTATAATTTATCTCTTACTATTCCCAACCCTGTGAGTACAACAGTATACAAATCACTAATGGGTCATAAAATCAAATGAGTGGGTCACAACTGGTATTTTTATAGAATTCGGATAGACTAAAATAAAAATAGAGTACAGGCAAGTACATTAAAACAATAAAATATAATCTTTAAACTTGATTCAGTTTTATGTGTACATCGGGGCATGATATAATATCTTGTATCATGAGTTCTGGAAGGAAGATAAAAATATAGAAATAAAAATTTCTCTTTTCTGTTGTGAGTAAATAGGTCTGAATCCCTAAATTTCTGAACCTGTATCGGATTTCAGGGCCAGCAAAACAAAAAACCTGGGTTCATTTCTTTGGCACGGGTAAGGTCCAGTCTTGGACCTTATGTTATAACTAGAGGCCTGGTGCACAGATTTGTGCACTGGTGGGGTCCCTCAGCCTGGCCTGTACCCTGTTGCAATCCACAACCCCTCAGGGGATATCGTACTGCTGGTTTCAGTTTAATCCCCTGCAGTGTGACATCTTCTGAGGGATGTAGAAGTGTGTGAAGCAGCAAATGGCCAGAGAGGAGCCTGAGGCTCATCCCAGCCCTGCTCTTTCTGCTGTGTAAGTGCACTGACCATCATGGGGCAACTCCATGGTGGTCGGTGCATATCATAGTGACCCGTCAATAGGTCAACAGGTTGAACAGTAGAGCAATTTAGGTTTTATATATAGATAGATATTTATGACTTTGTGTTGTTTTTCTATCAGAAATGTTATAAGATGAAAATGTCTCCTTAAAGATTTCTTTCAGAGAACATAAATTCTAGATAAGTATTTATACAGTGATAGCTTATGGAAAAGGGGGTGAATTGAAGAATATGCAGAGAAGCAGTATTCTGCCCTGAAATCCTCAGGCAGCTGGGATACACTCTCAACTCCCTTGCCCTCACTGCTTCTCTTTGTTTCTGTGAGTGGCTGGACTGGAATATGGCTAGAGAGAAAGGAAACAGGGCCAGATTGGGCTACACCCCAGAGGTTCCATAGTCTCCGGAATGATTCAGGTCAGTGGTTTTTTAAATATCCTGTAGGGCTGAAAGAAACCTGGATTCCTCTTATCAAGAGTTGCTCTAAAAGGAGAAAGTTTATACTGAGCAGTAAAGATAAAAATGCTCTATTGTCAGATCTGATTATTCTTCTGTCTGGATTTTTTTTTTTTTTAATGAAGTAACCAGTTATCAGGGGAAATTCCTTATAATGCTTTATTTGTGTTTTTCCCCTACTACAATAATCAATAACACTGGTGTACTTTATTAAAATGCTATTCTCACTAACTTTAAATATGACACTTAGACTATGAAGTTAAAAGAAAGACAAACCAAATTATGTGAATTTGCTGACCCCTGGTGGGTAAAATAGATTATGACTATAAGCTTTCCACAGTGAAGGATCATTCTAGCTAGGATATTTGCTATTAGATATTAACACTGCTGTGTTATTTTTTTAAATCAAAACAAGTTGATCTAGGAAGTGCTATTATTTTTAGGGTTTTAAACATAGTTTTCTTTATTTATCCCAATAGGTTTCACCTTAAGACCTAGACCATTTTTATTCCTCTTCCTCCTGCCTGTACTTTTCAATGATCACCTACAAGGTGTTGTCGAATAACACAGGCATTTCCCCTCCCCTCCCTTCACCTTGCTTCTCACTGAGCATCATAAAATTACCAACATGTAAACACTCTTGTCTATAAGCATATGAGCAGATTATAGCCAATTACATCAAAGTTATAAAAATAAAAAAAACAACAACAGCAAAATCAGTGTATTTGGTAAAGATAAACAGTGACTTGAACAGTGCTTGGCACAGAGTTAACTTAGATTATGTAAATGTATTATCATCTGTTAGGACAATAAAAATAATAGAAATTATTCCTGAAGTCTAATGCTTAATCAAAGTCCAACTGAGAAAGGGGTGTCTCTGGAAGATTATCTGATGCACATGTAGTTTAAGTTATTCATTCCTTTATAATACAGACAAAGGAAAAAAAGATATTCTAGGTCAAGGACTACAAGAGTATATTCATGAAAATAGGAAAGTGACATTGTTTGGGTTAGTGGGGAAAGGACTTGGGCTGGGAGATAAAGAAAAGCAATTGTGGAATACTTACTCTGTGTTGGCCACTGTGCTAGGCAATTTCACTTTCTGGGAGGGGTAAAAATGTTTTCTGATTTTTTATTTAGCTCCAGTAACTATAGAAACATTCACAGAAGATCCTAGTAAGTTTTCCTTTATTCTTTGCTTTCATATTGGGGATAGGATTGATGCTGCCATCTGTACAAAGAAAGCCTAAAAGAGAGGTTGGTGGGCACTCTGAGTTCATGCGAGCTCCATTTCTGTCTTAAATGCCACCGATGCTGTAAGCATGCCCAAACGTTTTCTCTCCTCCATTTCCTGCTGTAAAAGTCCCTTACATTTGTCCCCACAGTCCACATTCTTTCACCTCAATCTTTGTTGCCTCCTTTTAGACCATCATCCCTTATCCTGCTTTCCTTTCTACTTTTCCTGCTTGCATTTTTCATTCTCTGTGTTGTTACCTTGGCAGATTTGGTAAATGAACCCTCTACAGATGAAACAGGTAACTTTTACTACAGCTTTTTAAAAATGGCATGATTCTCACAGTGTTTATTCCAGTTCTTCAGTGAATCATTATATATATATATATATATATATATATATATATATATATATATATATATAAAAGGTATAGAGAAATTGTGGGCATGTTGTTCAGTGACAGTGGGGTAAAAAGAGGTCCCCTAGTCCTCTAAAAAGAGGAAACAAAGAGGATTAATAGTTCAAATAAGTCATGAATGATAAAGGCTCCCCAAATTAGTATAATGTCAATAGGACAAATATTCTTCAAAAATATTCACAATTACTTCAATTAACTCTCTTTCATTGGATATAATACACAAACTCAGCCATAGCCTTGACCTTGACCTAATATTTCCATTATCCTTAATTCTGCCTTCCCCCTTGCCAACTCAAAGCCTTCCTCCTCACACCTGCTGTTTTGTGCCTTTTCAGTTCTGGCTGATATCGTGCCTTCCACAGATGACCTGGGTGAGTTCAGATCTGGGATCCCAGGGCCACCAGGGCCATTCTGGGCTCTCCCCAGAGCCTATGATGGAAGGCATTACAGCTGGTGAAGGATCCTAACTAAACAGGGTTACAGTGCATTCAGTTTAATGACTTTTTTTTTTATATCCTCTAACAAGCATAACTGTGCCAAGTGTTTGATGTACAAAACCCCAACCCATGATCTTTTAATGTTTCTAAGACTAAATGAGTAAAACAAAATGTAGAAACCAAGAAATGTATGGGGAGATAAAGAAGAACTTTCTAGAAGTAATGGTCACACTGAATCTTGAAAGAAGAATTGGAGCAAGCCAGTCAATTATGGGAGGGGCGTGCATTCCAACCAAAAGAAATAGCTGTTCAAACATGTGAAAGCAAAAGAAACTTGGCACACTGGAAAAACAGATTATTTATTTGTTTGTTTATTTGTTTGTTTATTTTTAGTGATTAGGGTCAAAGATTAAGTGGTAGAACACGAGAAAAGTAGATCGCAGCTAACATTATTTTAAGCAAATATTTACTGAAAACCTGCTATGTAGGTGCCAGGGATATAAAGGTAAACAAAACTAATTTTCTTCTACTAGATATTTTTTGTCTAATAGACAAGACAGACAAGTGAACAGATAAAAAAGAGCCCTTGACTCTATTCAGTGTTGGGAGTGAGGAAAGGCTTTTCTAGAGAGCACATTGTCTAAAATGCTTCTTGGCCGAAACTGGTTTGGCTCAGTGGATAGAGCGTCGGTCTGTGGACTGAAAGGTCCCAGGTACGATTCCGGTCAAGGGCATATACATTGGTTGTGGGCACATCCTCAGTGGGGGTGTGCAGGAGGCAGCTGGTCGATGTTTCTCTCTCATCGATGTTTCTAGCTCTCTATCTCTCTCTCCCTTTCTCTCTGTAAAAAATCAATAAAATATATTTAAAAAATAAAATGCTTCTTGGAAGACAAGTAGAAGTGAATCAAGTGAATAGAATGAGAAGAGGTAATGAAAATAAAGTGGACAAAGGCTTAGGGTGGAAACAAAAAACAATCAGAGTATAGTTTATGCAAAGAAAGGTTCAAATCAGACTGATGGATTGGAAAACCAATGAGGATGACGTTGCGGTAGTCCAAATAGTAATGTGTTAAAAGATAGTGGCCTTGCCAAGACCGGTTTGGCTTAATGGATAGAGCATCCGCTTGGGGACTGAAGGGACCCAGGTTCGATTTGGGTCAAGGGCATGTACCTTGGTTGCAGGCATATCCCCAGTAGGGGGTGTGCAAGAGGCAGCTGATTGATGACTCTCTCTCATTGTTGTTTCTAACTCTCTATCTCTCTCCCTTCCTCTCTGTATAAAATCAATAAAATATATCTTTTTAAAAAATTATTTTTAAAAAAAAGGATGGTGCCCTGACCTTGGCTTAGTGGTTGAGCTTCAATCTATAAACCAGGATGTCATGATGATTCCCAATTTCAAGCTTCTCCCCCAGTAGGAGGCGTGCATTTGATTTCAGAGAGGAAGAGAGAGGGAGAGGGAGAGGAAGAGAGAGAGGGGAAGAGAGAGAGAGAGAAAGAGAGAGAGAGAGATGATGATGATGATGATGATGAGAATCATGGATCAGCTGCCACCTGCATACCCCATACTGGGGCTGAAGCTTGCAACTTGGTCATGTATTTTTGACTGGAATCCAACCCAGGTCAATCCACAGGCCCATGCTCTTTCCAGTGAGCCAAACTGGCTGGGGCTGAAATCAATAATTTTTTTTTTTTAAAGATGGTGGGCTGAACGAAGGTAAAGGTAGTGAGAATTGGATATGAGATGCAAGAGGGAGAAGACTGTTGTCATGATGTTCAACTTTCCATCAGGTAGATGGTGGCTATTGTGTGGATGGCGCTACTATTCACTGAAAAACAATTTGAATTGGAAAAAATAATCCCATTTGGGAATGATGGGTTTGAAAAACCTGTTAAGTCTTTTATAACACAGTGGCTAGATTTATAGGTCTGAAGCTTAGAAGAGATCTGGGCTAGAAGTACAAATTTGAGAATTCTCAGTGTAAAAACTTGGAAGTGAAACCATGGGATAGATGAGATCACCTAACACACTTCCTATAATATCCTGCTGGCAACTCGGCCAATCGCATTTTTTACTGATAACTCCCATAGTTAATTCCCTCAAGGTCCATCTTGCTCCTTAATTTGTTCTCCAGTCTTCAAATTAGGCCCATGTTTAACCAGTGCCTAGATTAGATTAGACTATGGCCACGAACCTTGCTATTCTTTATTGAATAAATTTTTATCAAATACACATGATAGTGTATCTGTTTTAACAGAGAAGAAATTTTCTTTTTTTGAAGAACTTTTACAGCAAAAATCTTTTCTCTTTTTAGCTCTAGGATGGAACTCTTCTGAGCATGTGGCTCTTTGTTGTGTCCCTACTAAATTTGTTTATTATCAATACAAAATCCTCAATATAATAAAATTTTCACCTCCCCAAGAAAAGCAAAAATCATATTTACCATCCTAACTTCTAAAGCACTGCAATTGTGTGAATCAAAACAAATCATTATGGGTTTGCTTGTTCCTTAGAAGTTGCTAAAGAGTTAGAGGCACTAGAAGCCTGGTGCACAACATTCCTGCACTGAGCGGGGAGGTGTTCCTTAGCCTCACCTGCACCCTCTTGCAGTCCAGGACCCATGGAGGGATGTCTGCCTACCACAGAGGTGGGAGAGGCTCCCACCACCTCCGCTGTGCTCACCAGCTGTTAGCCCGGCTTCTGGATGAGCAGCACTCACCCTGTGGGAGCCACCTAACCAGCAGAGAGTAGCTCCTGCATTGAGCGTCTGCCCCCTGGTGGTCAGTGCGCATCATAGCAACCAGTCTTTCTGTTGTTTGGTTGATTTGCATATTAGGGTTTTATTATATAGGATTTGTTTCTTATCTACATGGATGCCACACGTGGGTCTCAGATGAGGTAACATGACAGTTACAGAGGTAGTTACTTCTAGAACAAATAATAACTGAATAAAATTTCTGCCTTCCAGCCTCGCCCAGTGATAAAAACACCTCAGGTATGATTGTCTTTTTCCTAAGCTTTTTTTGTGTGTGTGCATGTGTGTGTTGATTCAGAGGATTCCTTATTTCTTTGTTCTTTGGAGAGTGTATATATATCTTCTAGTTTACTTCCAATTTTGTCTCAAAGATTATTTTTAGTGTCCTTAATTCTTCCTCCCACAGCCCCATCTCTGCCTTTTTATATGAGCTTCTGTCCTAAAAGCCATGGTGAAAAGATTTGACTGCCCCTTCATGATCCCGAAGCAATTCTTTGGACTTTATTTGGTTATGAGGTTGGGAAATGACTACAAGTACTCAATATAGACATCAGGACTAAAATTGCTTTCCTTAATATATTGATAATTATAATGTTCAGCTAGAGTTGAAAACTACTGGGACAGAAAAATGATTACTCACCTTAAAATTTCCATTTTTCAGAATGGGATTATCAGCACTTTTTGTTTGATATTTCACCTCTATAATGCTAGGAGAACTTTTTCCTAGAAAACCCCTCAGGGATTATTTTAGCCAACATCTATTTCCAGGTAGGAAATCACCTAAATTTCATTTTAGTCAATTTCCTATCACTCTGCTTTGGTGAGCAGGAAAGAGATGCCCCAACTTACAATGATCTTCTGTAGAGACTACCTTATATGCTTTTCCCAATTTTTCTCTCAAATTTTATCTTTATTGTTGTATTACAGATGTCCCCCCATTGTTGGTGTGTGTGTGTTTTTCCTCTTCGATCTCTTTAATCCTTTGTTTATAACTCTCATGTTTGTTATACCTCTCCCCATTTTTTTGTGTGGGTTTCTTCAGAGTGCCGGGATGAAAAATTTGCTTGCACAAGACTCTACTCTGTGCATCGACCAATCAAGCAGTGCGTTCATCAGTCTTGTTTTACCAGGTAAGGGGCACCAGAATACCCAGAAAGCATCTTCCATGATGTTTTCATGTCAGCAACTATTTAATGAGCTCCCACTACGGAATTTCAGTTTTTGGAGGGACAGAATATTTTAGCATAATCCTCTAGCTATCACTGACAGTACCAAATAGAACCTGGAGTCTGGATTGAGCTATTCAGAGAACTAGCTGACTAACAAGTCTAGATGCTAGAGGGCAAATAAAAGTAAGGGCTGGGGGAAGGATAGTCATGAGGTAAACACAAGTGCGTTGAATTTACTACATCATAGAAAAAGGTTGAAATGAAAGATTCAAGTATGAAGTCAGAAAATAGTGGGGAGGAGTTAGTATTAAGTTTGATTCTAGGGAGAGTATGCAAAGTATTGCTAAGAAGACTAATGTTTTCTGAAATACTTAAAGAAACACAGGTAAGAGTGGGGAATACAGCCATTGAAAAGGCATCCTAGGCCTAGGCGAGTTCTCCCTCTCAACACCTCTTTCCGTCTCCTTCTTTAACCATGACTTTGGGACTACGGCAGTGTACGACGCATGTACATCATCAATAATGAGATTTGCTCCCGTCTTGTCTGTAAAGAACATGAAGCTATGAAAGGTAAGATGGATGTCTGTGTTTGTAGTGGGGGGGAGGTAAGGAAGGACACAATGCTAATGGATCCCAGGTCTGGCTCTGGTGGAGGGCTGTAGGCCACCCTTTTAAGTCACATCAGCCTCTTCTCTTCCAAGTTATCCCAAAGCGAGGAAACTAAGCAAAGCAGCATGCTTATTACACAAACATAAACCTACAAAAAGTGCCCCCCAGATCCCTTTCCAATTAAGATGGTAACTCCAAATCTCTCCTGTATATAGTCAGAGCTCTGGCTGCTTTCAAGCTCATTCACTGGGGTTCTAGGTAAAAAAGGCCAATCATTACAAATAGTAGATTCTATTAGTCTGCAGGCAGGTTTGTAACTACAAAAAACTGCACAAAACATTAATTTGGAGACAGTAATGTTTGGGTAGGCCTTTAATTAAATTAGAAATAGATTGGACATTTAGAAACTGGCTACCTTATAAACAGTCCACCGCTTACAAGCACCCTTTATATTGCTCATTGTGAAATTTCTGAGGTAGAGGAAGGTAGAAAGACTTCACAAAAACAATTAAAAGGGTCGAAAGTGAGTGACCATGTATGATGGGAAAAAAGACTCTTCTCATCTTCCCCTTCGCCTGCCCCCAAAGGTGGCTGTGGTTGGCGAGTGCACCACAGACAAGCCACTTCTGACTAAGCAGCCCGCCTTGTGTGGAGCTCCTGACTCAGAGCTGTACTTAATTTCAGAGAAGGAAACTTGCTGCCTGTCCCCACTGGCTCTGTGCAAGCCACCTGCAAGGGAAGCACCTTGAGATTGAGGTTGAGTATTTGGGACTCTAGGCACTTTCAAGGGTCTCCGGGGACTTAGTCAAGTCAGCTATTTGCAGGTAGTAAACACTTAGGTATCTATTGAGTGATTGAAGCTTATTTTTTGGTTATTCAAAAGTCCATGATTAGAAAAAGTGGGAGCTGGGTGTAGAAAGGAAATTACCATTTACTGACCACCTGTGCTAGGTACTTTGCATACATTATTCCATTTTAATACAACTAAACTGTTGAGGCAGGTGTTTTAATGCTTATTTTATAGAAAGGATATTGAAGATCAGAAAAATTAAGAAACTTTCTAGTAAGTCTCTAGTGGCAAATAAGTGGTAGAGCTGTGATGCTAACTCAGTTCTATTCCTCCCCAGCCTTTTCACTCCATCACGCTGGTCTTCCCTTTCCCTTAATACATCAGTCCTTGATGAGACCGGTTTGGCTCAGTGGATAGAACATTGGCCTGAGGACTGAAAGGTCCCAGGTTGGATTCCAGTCAAGGGCATGTACCTTGGTTGCGGGCACATCTCCAGTAGGGATTGTGCAAGAGGCAGCTGATGGATGATTCTCCCTCATCGATGTTTCTAACTCTCTATCCTCTCTGTAAAAAATCAATGAAGTATATTTTTTAAAAAATCAGCCCTTTATCTATCCGCATTCTAATACCATCATGCTCTGCTTCTCTTCTAGATGAGCTTTGCCGTCAGATGGCTGGTCTGCCCCCAAGGCGACTCCGGCGTTCCAACTACTTCCGACTCCCTCCATGTGAAAATGTAAATTTGCAGAGACCCAATGGTGTGTGATCATCAAGGAAAAGGAAAAAAAAAATGTATGGGTGGGATGAAGAGAATGTTCTAGGAAGAGGGAACTCCTTGTCTAACATTGTCAGCGAACCCATACATTAGTATTTCTTAGACCAAACCCTTCTCAATGTTTAATTTTTTGTTTTACTCCCTGATGTTTCACCCAGACTGAAACATTGATCTCATTTTTGGTACTTACAAAACAAGGTCTATATTATTGCCTAGTTTTACTGCTTCCCAATATCATAGACATAGTAGATAAAATGACCAGGCAGTTTAAATGTAACTTCAAGGGAAAGTAAACTTAAGGTTACTAATATGTATTATTGAAGTTGTCTGGGAGAGTTCTTAGGGTGGAAGAAATTATCATGGTCTATTTGGGCTAGCATAGAACTTCATTTACTTTCCTTACAAGAGTTTCCTATATTAACTACCCTTTTGTCTATAAAGTAGTCCTCTTTACTCTTATTTTAATTATTTTGCTGACTATCATAACATTTACTTGGCAGGTTCTCTTTATTAAAAAGATCATGACAATTTTTGTAGCTCTAGAAAATTCTCCAGAGCCAATATTTATACAATCCTACTAACAATATATAAAGACCCCAAATGTTGCCTTCTGCTAAGCTCAGAGGCTAAGGCAAAAGAGGAGTATGCCAGGTATAGAACTTGGACCCATGATTCCATATTCAACTGTTGATATGGTTGTCTAGTCTGAAAATAGGGCTTGAAAGTAAATTCATTTTCTTACTCATTTTTGGTAGCAGTGGTGTTAGTCCACCTCCAAAGGTGAATTAGATGATTTAATGTCAAACCATGTCACTGGTCTGAGTTTTTGTGAGTGTTGCTACTTCCGTTCTCACCTCTTAACAAAATCTGAAGGTATTATTATTCAAATAGGTTCCAGAATAGTCTGATTTGGGGCCTAAGAAGGGCATTTAGACCTGAACTTTGACAAGCAGGCACAAAGTTTATCTAATGGTTTATAGAAAAAGACTAAAAGAAGCACAATATTAGGAAACCCACACCCTTATCCTGATTCTAGCAGGAACTAGATAAGTCATATTTCCTTACTAGGCCCTGGTTTAATTCCCCTACTTTTAACAGAAGATTTAATGTACATTAGTTTCTTTTAATTCTATGATTCTCAAAATTTAAATGAATTGTTAATATTTCTTGAAGCCTAGAGATTCAATATAACTCACAACAAACATGTTTGCTTTATAAAGGGAGGGGGAAATAGCCTGTATTAAATAAATGGACAATAGTCCACAGTATAATAGAATAAAATTTTACTACAAGTGATAAATTATATATTATGGGCTTTCTATCTGAATAACTTCTAACAGTAACCTTCTTAAAAAGCCAATTGAATTCAAGTAGGAGCTAGAGGAACCTGAGATAACCAGTTATATATATAATAATAGAACACCACTTGTAGGGAGTGAATTTCTGTCATATTTCTGAAAAAACTACCTGAGGATTGGATTCTTGCTGTTAATCCATTTAGTTTAATTGGATTTGCACAATTTATTAAAGAAAAATGTTAGAAAAGGCCCCAAAGCATCTAATCTCTGCTCCACAGCCTCTACAAGTAAATGTTCTGACATATAGACAGACATATTAAATGTTTATTATAGCCATTGTAGAGAAATCTCCTGGGCACAGAGTTTACAAGACTCATGTCAAAATGTCTTCATGAACTTGACCCTCCTACAGCATATTGAACGAGAGGTAGCATTTCCCACCAGAAAGCACCTCAATCCCAGTCGGTGTATATTGCAAATTAAACATTTTAAAACAATTGTTCCCAAGTTTCTTCTCAGAAAAGAGAAGTGTGTTGTTGTTTGTGTGTGTGTGTGTATGTGTGTTGTTATTTCCTATTTTATGTTTAAAAAGAAGGCCTGAATCCATGATTTTATTCCATTTTGAAAACTAAGTAACAATGTTGCTCCAATTTCTCTATTCCACTAGCCTCTGTTGTATCCTTCTTCACTCCATAACTTTACTGTTGGGTCCTCCAACATCCCAAATTTACTTCCTTTCCTCCTCATGCCCTTCCTCAGTTTACCAGAAAATTCTTTCTTATCTGCCCTTTTCAGGACCAATTGTCTTGCAAGGTGAAGTTTCAATGCTTTATTTTCACTTCTCTTTTGCATGACCCATAATCAAATTCCTGTGTTTTGCCATTTCTCATTTTTCTTATGTTCCCTACCTGTTTTCCTCTTCTTGGTAAGTAAACCAACTTGTCTAACTCACTTCCCAGCCTTTTTCCTCCTTTTTATAAAATACTCTTCTCCCTTATAGCTTCCCCCTAAAAATGGCCCCAGGTCAAAGCTTCTGAGGAGTTGTTTTTGGTACCACTTCTTAACCTCTATACTCTCTTCTCCATGGGCAGAAACCCATTCACCTCCTTTCCATTTTTTGTTTGTAGGGTGTGTTGTTTTTTTAAGCCTTAACCTATTGTGAAACAGGCTAATAAGCCAGAACAATTGGAATAGGGAATCTGAGACAGAGTTAAACAATAGTTTGCAGCCACCTAGAAAATCTAAATGCTAAGCAGCTTGCAGCCATTTAGTAAATCCTATCTTCCATAAGCCAGGGACCCTTTAAAAATGAATGGTTTGCACTTCTCCTTCCCAATCAAAGGGCAAATGACCTAAATCACCCTATTCAGGGAGGCGGATAGCAGAAATCCAATTGGTGCCATTTCCCAATATCTGTCCATTTCCCAAGGACAGATGAAGAGAATAAACTTTGTTTTAGTATATCAACATAAAGTTGATGAATATTTTACTGAGATCTCCTAGCTGAAACCAGTTTGACTCAGTAGATAGAGTGTCGGCCTGTGTACTGAAAGGTCCCAGGTTCGATGGCGGTCAAGGGCGAGTACCTTGGGTTTGGGCACATCCCAAGTAGGGGGTGTGCAAGAGGCAGCTGATAGATGATTCTCTCACTGATGTTTCTAACTCTCTATCCCTCTCTCTTCCTGTTAAAAAAAAAAAATCAATAAAAAAAGAACTCTGTCCTAGCTGGTTTGGCTCAGTGGATAAAGAGTTGGCCCTGAAGACTGAAGGGTCCCAGGTTCAATTCCCGTCAAGAGCACATGCCCAGGTTACAGGCTCAGTCCCCAGTTCGGGGTGTTCAAGAGGCAGCCGATCAATGATTTTCTCTCCTCATTGATGTTTCTATTTCTCTCTCCCTTCTTCTCCGATATCAATTTAAAAAATACTAACACACACACACACACACCTCTAAATGCAGAGCCTTTAATTTATTTATTTATTTATTTATTTATTTATTTATTTATTTATTTTATTGATTTTTCACAGAGAAGAAGAGAGAGGGATAGAGAATTAGAAACATCGATGAGAGAGAATCATCGATCAGCTGCCTCTTGTGCACCCCCTACTGGGGATGTGCCCCCAACCAAGGTACATGCCCTTGACTGGAATTGAACTTGGGACCCTTAAGTCTGCAGGCCGATGCTCTATCCACTGAGCCAAACCGATTTCGGCCAGAGCCTTTAATTTAAACCCCCTCAAAACAAAGATCCAAAGTGCACTCTCCCTCCCAGGAGCATGCCTATGCCTCCCCACACAGGAGTGCATCTCCTAAACTCTAAGGAACCCCACGAGGCCTGCAACCAGGGCAGCAATGGGCAATGACAGTTCATCCCAGACAAATCCCCTGAACCTGTCCTCAAAGTCCCTTTATCTCTGATTTTTTAAAAAAATATTTTTATTTATTTCAGATTAGAAAAGAGAGAGACAGAAACATCAATAATGAGAATCATTGATCGGCTCCGCACTGGGAATTGAGCCAAAAACCCAGGCATGTGCCCTGACTAGGAATCAAAGCAGGACCTTCTGGTTCATAGGTCAACAGCTCATTGGACCTCCTGGTTCAATGAGCCAACCAGCGGGCTTCTCTGACTTCTTAGTGAGCCAAAGCAGACTAGTCTAGGCTCACTTCTCCAGCCTCTTCTTATTTTGTGCTCAAAGTTTTACTGGATTCCAGTTGTGAAATTGTTTCTTCAGGAAATTAATAACCCGCACAGTGGGAACCTACCAGCTGGCCCCATGCAGACCCTCTCAGGGCCAGGTTCCATTTCCAGTAACAATTGCAGGTTCCCAATGGTCTAGTTTTTACGCCTTGCTCCTCCCACAAAAGGATTTGAAAAGCTTTTACTCTTTAAAGTATTAATGGGCCGTAATTGGTTTGGCTCAGTGGATAGAGCATCAGCCTGCGGACTGAAAGGTTCCAGTCAAGGGCATGTACCTTGGTTGCAGGCATATCCCCTGTGGGAAGTGTGCAGGAGGCAGCTGATCGATGTTTTTAACTCTCTATCCCTCTCCTTTCTCTCTGTAAAAAAAAAATCTAATAAAATATATTTTAAAAATAAATAAATAATAAATAATAGGTATTAATGGTATCCTTTTTTTCTGGTCAATGCAAATGACAGTCTTCTTAAGCAAGGAACTTAAATTTTGATGAGAAAGAATTACGTGAACCAAAACAATGGATTTTTAATGTTGGATTTAAAGAGTTTGGTTCAAAGTTAGGCAATTGGAATGCCTTCCTGAGACCTTGAAGAGAGAGCAGGCTTATCTGCCTATACTATAAGATTCACCCTTGTTTTCTCTTCCACAATTGAATAGATCCTGCTGTGAGTCTAACTTTTTCCATCTTTCGTGCTTATAACAGAAGAAAGTTCTCCTTGAATGAACAAGTAAGTTCTGGAAATTCAAGTGTGCTCTGCACTCTCTAAATATAGCTCCATGCACACTTTCTCTGAGTATTCTTTTGACTTACAGGCAGATGGTGCAAAGTCCAGCTTCTGGACCTTATTTGTGATGACATCAAGCAGTATATGCTGCTAGTCACAAGCTCCACCCTCCTTTGCTTCCCGTGCTGTGGCAAAAAGTTGAATGTTTGACCAAATACTTTATACCTGGTCAGAAGGTGCAAGCGATTTGCACCTCTAAGGTTCTCCCTTC